TTGTGCTTTGGGTGAAAGTTCACAGAGCAAGTCAGTTTTCATCAATTCATAGCACAGGAAGCTGTTGTTTGAACAGAACAAGGGGACACCGCATGGTTCAAAATCAAGAAGGGAGTGTGTTAAGGTTGAATCCTTTCACTGTACTTACACAACTTGTATGCTGAGCAAATAATCTGAGAAGCTGGATTATATGAAGAAGAACATGGCATCAGGATTGGAAGAAGACTCATTAATAGCCTGCAATATGCAAATGACACAACTTTGCTTGATGAAAGTGAGGATGACTGGAAGCACTTACTGATGAAGATTAAAGACTACAGTCTGCAGAATGGATTACAAGCTCTGGTAGCTTAGTGCCTAAGGCACTTGACTGCTAACCAGAAGGCTGGTAGTTCAAACTCACCAGCCACTCCTCGGAAGGAAGGCTGGGCAATCTACTTCCATAGTGATACTGGCTCGGAAACCCAAGGAGGGGTCGCTATGAGTCAGATCTGACTTGACTGCACATAACAACAACAACAACATAAAGAAAACAAAAATCCTCACAACTGGACCTATAAGCAGCATCATGACAAATGGAGAAAAGATTGAAGTTGTCAAAGACTTCACATTGTTTGGTTCTACAATCGACACCAATGGAAGCAGCAGTTGGGACATCAGATGACTGGGCAAATGGGCTGCAAAGGACCTCTTTCAAGTGCTGAAGAGCAAAGATATCTCCTTGAGGACTAAGGTGTGCCTGACACAACCATGGTATTTTCAATTGTCTCGTATGCGTATGAGAGCTGGACAATGAATAAGGAACACCAAAGAAGACTTGATGCTTTTGAGTTGTGGTGCTGGCGGAGAATGCTGAAAGTCCTATGGACTGCTAAAAGAACTAACAGATCTGTCCTGGAGGAAGTGCAGCTGGAATGCGCCTAGGAAGTGAGAATGGCCAGACTTCTCACCTACTTTGGTCATATTGTCAGAGGAACCATTCCCTGGAGAAGGGTATCATGCTTGGTAAAGTGGAGGGCCAGTGAAAAAGAGGAAGGCCCTCAACGAGATGGACTGACACAGTGGCTGCAATGATGGGCTCAGGTAGAGAGGAGATTGTGAGGCTGGCACAGGACTGGGCAGTTTCGTTCGGATGTGCAAAGGGTCACTATGAGTCACAGACAACTTGATGGCACTTAACAACAACAACCTACTATGTATCAGCTACTCTGCTGAAACTTTCCAAACACTTATTTAAACCTCAGAGCAACCTTGCAAGGGAGGCATTATTAGTCTTATTTCTGTTGTTCTTGTCAGGTGCCATTGAGTTGCCTCTGACTCATAGTGTCCGTATGTACAACAGAATGAACCGCTCACTGCCTAGTTGTGTGTCATCCTCACAATCCCTGCTGTACTTCAGCCTATTGTTGCAGCCATTGTGTCAGTCCATTTTGTTTACCCTTTTTTGCTGACCCTCCACTTTACCAAGCATAATACCCTTCTCCAGGGAATGGTCCCTTTTAACAACATGACCAAATTAGGTGAGACAGTCTGGCCATTCTTGTCTTCAAGGAGCATTCTTGCTGCACTTCTTCCAGGACAAATTTGTTCATTCTTCTGGCAGTCCGTGGTATTTTCAGTATTCTTCACCAACACCATAATTCAAAGGTATCAACTCGTCTTCCATTTTCCTTATTCATTGTCCAGCTTTCACTTTCATTTGAGGTGACTAAAAATACCATGGATGGATCAGGCGCATCTTAATCTTCAAATTGACATCCCTATTCTTCAATACTTTAAAGAGGTCTTTTGCAGCAGATTTGCCCAGTGTAAAAAAGACGCCTGGTTTCTTGACTGCTACTTCTCATATGTGTTGATCATCTTACTTTTGTAAATGAGAAAAAAAAAAACAACAAAAAAAAAAACACCAGAAGCCTAAGGGAACACAGTGGGGCTGGTAGTTGAAGTCAAGTCTGTCTGACTTCAACAGCCAAGTTACACACACTAATGTACAGAGAGCTTGAGAAGACACAAAATGAAACCATTACAGAATAAAGTAGAGTTGTGTATTAACTAGGAATGGATTTCATTGCACATAACAAACAAACAAACAAAAAACCTAACATTTTTAAATCTAATTTTCTTTTTTTGCCCATACATCAAGAAGTCTAAAGACAAGCACTCCAGGATTGATGTAGCAGCTGAGAGGAACCAGGTACACTTTTGTTTTCCTGTTTGAACATTCACAACAACTGGGTTTATCTTCACAATCACAAAATAGCTGCTATACCAACAGTTACCCCTTCTCCATTCTAGTCAGAAATAAGGAGAAAAAACAAAGGGCAAAAGATTTCCCCAAGTTATTCAGGAAGGAAATCCCTTCCCTATATTTCACCTATCAGGTGATTATCCCTAGCTACCAGGAAGGTATTTCACTCTCCATTCTTCTCAGTAGAGGAAGACAAAGGAAAAGGTGGTTGGCATGAGTGTTGAGTGAATCAGCTCTAAAATCTGTCACAGGTTGTTTTTCTCAAAGCACACTTCTTTGTAAGAGTTTATTTAAATTAAACGTGAAAGGAGACCAGAAAG